CTGGATGTGGCAATGATAAGCATCAGTTGCCTGACTATTACTACGTGACCAGATTGGACCAGTAACTCCCACCCTTTTTAAAAGTTCCAGTGGAACTATAGTGCACTGGTAAATGCCTAGTACTTCTGTACTAAGGTTACAGGTTCAAATCCTGGTGATGGCAAAAATTCCTATAGATGCATTCCAGAGGTGATCATAGTACCACCATAAACCAATCATCAAAGTGTTATAGCGCTACAAATCTTATTGGAGGTTTGGGGTCTCACGAGTACTCATTATGATGCTAGTGAGTGATCTTAATACTAGGGGCTGGATGTGGCAGTGATAAGCATCAGTTGCCTGACTATTACTACGTGACCAGATTGGACCAGTAACTCACACACTTTTTAAAAGTTCCAGTGGGACTATAGTGCACTGGTAAATGCCTAGTACTTCTGTACTAAGGTTACAGGTTCAAATCCTAGTGATGGCAAAAATTCCTATAGATACATTCCAGAGGTAATCATAGTACCACCATAAACCAATCATTAAAGTGTCATAGCACTACAAATCTCACTGGAGGTCTGGGATCTCACAAGTACTTATTATGATGCTAGTGAGTAATCTTAATACTAGGGGCTGGATGTGGCAGTGATAAGCATCAGTTGCCTAACTATCACTATATGACCAGATTGGACCAATAACTCCCCCCTTTTTAAAAGTTCCAGTGGGACTATAGCGCACTGATAAATGCCTGATACTTCTGTACTAAGATTACAGATTCAAATCCTGGTAATAGCAAAAATTCCTGTAGACACATTCCAGAGGTGATCATGATACCACCATGAACTGATCATCAAAGTGTCATAGCGCTACAAATCTCATTGGAGGTTCAGAGTCCCACGAGTACTCATTATAATGCTAGTGAGTGATCTTAATACTAGGGGCTGGATGTGGCAGTGATAAGTGTCAGTTGTCTGACTATCACTATGCGACCAGATTGGATCAATAACTCTCCCCCTTTTAAACTCAAAGCCGATATTTGGCCTAAAAAAATCCAATATAGTCCTCTATATAAGCGAATTATAGTTATAACATGATTGTATTAACAACATATGTAAAAACTTGAAATTAATAAAGTATAAAGGGCAAGGCCCAGCTAGTGTTTAAAAAAAAAAAACTAATTATCTAAAACAATTAATTTTTATTTTGAACTTTTTTTTAACCACTATTATGGTTTCAATATAAAACATATTATGACTATCCAAAATATTCAAAATTTTCAGAAAACAATTGATTACATGTCAGCAAAAGTAAGAGTACTACCTTGACCAAATAGTCCAGAAAACTCAAAGAATTTTAAGTCAAAAGAAAATAACGAGATATTCTACTGCCAAGAGCCAATGCTTTTTCTTAATCAAAAACTTTGAAAAATGAAAAAACTGGTCAATTACTTCAATACTTTTATGGTGATTATTTAATAGAATTACCAACCTATAATAATATAGTTACACAAAATAATAAAGATTTATCTACAATTCTTAATAATACTTTAGCTAAACAAAAGGAAATATTTTTTATGGCTGTTTATTAGAAAAATAGGAGATAAAAATCATTATATTTTACATCTTTATTGCTCTTTTATCAATAATCAAAAAGCAGTAGTTATTTTTATGAAGATTCGGATTTTCTTTAATATACTTGTACCTGATAAAGAAATTATAAATAAGTTTAAAATAAAAATAGACACAATTCTCTCTAGTATTATAAATATGTATAAAATAGAATATATTAAGGCTTTCCTTTTGTATAGTTACTATACAGAAAAAAAGACATATTTATGAATTTTAACACTCGATAGTAGGGATAAAAAGATAATAATTTTGAAACTACTTCAGACGATATGTTCTCATTCTATTATAAAATAGCTAGAGAAAATGGAATCACAATTTCTGGTTGGTCTATAATGAGTAAGTATAAATACAAAAAACATTCTTATTATACATATGATTTTCAAGTTTTTATAAATTTTTTTTAATCAGTAGAAGATCTAAAATTGATAAGTGACTGTTTTCTGATTTCAACACTAATGAGAGATTGTACATTTATCCTTACATGGGATATAAAGACACAATCATGAGAGTTGGGTGAATTTGCTAAAATACATGATAAAGAAAATATCGTATTTATAATTTGTATGACTTTATATTAAAAAAACAACTCAAGACTGTTAAAACAAATATGTCTTGTTGATCTTAAAACTGTACCAGATCCATGATGAATAACATTTATATATGGGAACCAAACAAATTTACTAAAAGATTCACATTATGCTGGAAAGCCTTCATTCCTAATATTTATCTTGGATTTAATGATTTCAAGTATGATTGGTCATTTATTATAGAAAGAGCTTATAGACTTAATATTCTCAAATGGATGTGGCAACAGATTACAGAAAGATTTAAATCGAAGAATAAAATTCTAAAATAGAATTATTACGGGAACATAAAACAAAATCTAAAAATAGTTTTCAAATTAAAAAAAATGCTATTGATAATAGTAAGAAAAAAAATGATAGGGTACAGCCAGTTATAATTAAGATTAGTCTAGAGAATAATTATATTTTTACTTTTCTTAAAGTACCAGGATGTGTACTGTCATATATTGTTTCTACTTCAGGAGAAAGATAAAGACAAAGAACTAGTAGCAGGGAGGCACTTTAAATGAACAGGACCAATGTGGTATGCTAAAGTTCCTAGAGGCATACAGATTAGTACAGTTCTGAGGTATATAAGGTCAGGCGAAAAAGGCAATGGTGATTTGTTTTATAAAGGTCAAGATATTTATTCAATAAAATATATGTTCAAGCCTGTCAATTCCTAGACAAAATTGGAGCCTTTATATACATATTTGAGTTATATTATTTTTGTACATGATAATTATGAATTATAAGAAATAATAGAAATATAAAAGAAGTGTTATATTCATTAGAACAGTTATCTGTATATATTAGCATAGAAACAAATGCTTTGGCAAAAATACAATAATAAAGAGAAATAAATAAAATAGGAAATATCTAAAGCAACAATAACATGAAAAATACAGTGCTAAATAATAACAAGGATAGTAATACAAAAATTATTCTAGAATGGGTAACATTTCAAGGGTCAATACTAGTGAAAATCGGACAAGGAGTATTGAAGATCTTGGGTGAAAATCAAGTGTAATATCGTAAACTTTTAAAGTAGAAAAAATAAACTGAATCTTATCTAAGAAAGGTATTGTTAAACCTAAAAGTTTAATTTTTCTGAAATAAGAAATTTCACATCAAACATCAATTTAATACATTAATTCACTAATAATAAACCTATAGTATTTTTATCTGCTGAACAACTTTATTTAGAACCCAGAATAAAATTTCGGTTAACACTTTTGCAATAATCAAGGATTTTGATCAAATATTTATAATATTCAATCAAAATATATTGTTATATTACATGATCAAGTGATAATCCCCTAAGTTATGAACACGAAGAATTGAAAAACATATTACAAATTAGCCTTTCATTAACTTTTCTATATTTGTATCATTTGTTACTTTCAATAATTTAGCATATCAATTATATTCTTTATTTTTTTTTATATAAACAGAATAATCATGAATTTAATTTACAAGAAAAGAAAAATAATAGAGAAACTGTAGAAAAATTGTAAAGGAAATGGAGAGAGACTTGTAAGAGAATTAAAGATGGAATTGGTAGAATTAGAATTATAATAATATTTTAATAATAAACAGTTCTATATAAATTATTACAATTATATTTGTCTTTATATAATTATAATTATTATGCCTCTTGCCTTATGATTTTTGAAACCTCAAATATCTTCTCTATAAACTATAACATACTACATTGGCTTCTGCCATTTAAAATATCTCCTTGCTATTAGTTCTTCATTCTATACTGGTCTTTGAGGTTGGATTGATATATAACAGCATACACGAGTGGATCTCGAAGCAGTATGAAATGTAAAAGAAAAGGAATATGCACAAATCGCAGAGACGCGATTATAGTATTTTTTAATTCTGTAGTTCCTTATCAATACAAAAAACCAGAACCATATAGTAATTGTGGAGAAAAAAGAAATGAAGCCAACTGCAATATGAAGAAGATGTTTTTTTTGCTACAGGAGAAACTCAGTATTTTGTACAATGAGCAAAAATATCGGTACCTATCCTTAAATACTTTTGACTATTTTCGAATGCAGTGCTTAGCTCTATACTTTACAGATGTGTTAAATGAAGAGAGCAAAGTTGAAAGCAACAACTACACTATACTTCCTATTCTTGAAAAGCAAAAAAATTGAGAGAATGAATAGGCTGCTCACTGTCTACACAAATGGACAGATTACTTTCTTCTTTATAATTGACTTTTTTCAAGGTTTCAAGATAAGTATGCCAAGTATACTTCATTACTTATAAATGAAGACATTGAAATGGCATACTTGAAGTAACTTTGCAATGCAAAATTTGAGAATCAAAAAGTATTACCATATACCATTGCATACAATACCCCCTCAAATACTACCCCCCTACTAATAATACCGGGTAGTATTCAAGAAAACTGTTGCTTGATAATTGATTACTATCCAGGTATATTAATATATTATAATTCTATTGGCTCTAGTTTAAATTTAATAACGTAATTATAAAATTGTAATTAAACACTGTTACATTTTTATACATATAGATTGTCATTGCATTATAAAATTGTATTTAAATACTGTTATATTTTTATACATACATGTTGTCATTGTATAATTACATTTCTTTATAACACTACATAACCCTTCACAGTTTTTATAAAATCTTTTTAAACACTATTTTACGATAAGTTTTTGATGCTACAAAAAAAGAGATGAGCTGATATAAATAAGCAAAAAAATAAATAAGCATAAGGGAATAAACTAATGAGCAAAGCGGACAAGAGAAAAGGAATGAATAGGTAGGAAAGAAGAAATGAATGGGCAAAGAGAGTAGACAAGAGAAAAGGAACAAACAGGTAGGAGAATGGGCAAAGAGAGTAGACAAGAGAAAAGAATGAATAGGTAGGAGAGAAGAAATGAATGGACAAAAACTAATGGGCAAAGTGGATAAAAGAAAAAGAACAAATGGGTAGGAGAGAAGAAACGAATAGACAAAAACTAATAGGCAGAATGGACAAGAGAAAAGGAACGAATGGGTAGAAGAGAAGAAACGAATGGACAAAAACTAATGGAAATGATTTACCCTGCCACTAATACTACCCCTTCTAGTAAAATACTCCCCGGGTATTAATAAATTTATTAGGGGGTAAATTGATTAATACCCGGGATATTGTATGCAGTGGTATACGGTACTATTGCAAACCTTTTTTCGTAACAAGGTCATTTCGCAACATCTCAATATTAATAATCATTATGTTCCGGAATTCACTATAATTTGATATATGCAAAAATGGGCTATGCATTTCACAAGAATAGATAAGACATTTATTATAATGAGTATAGGTGAGAGAATATTGTAGTATATTGCCAAATATTTATAGTAAAAATAATATATTATACTTATTTTATAAAGTTATTTGAACTGGAGAATGAGAAATTAGTAATAGAGTCAATCCTAGATTTACTTATTGAATCCACAGAACATATTCTGGTTATCCATAATGAGATATACTTTTATGCCTTTAATAACCAATTTAATACATGGCTCATGGAAGAGAAAATATACATCAAGAAAAAGAATTAGGGCCAAGCCTTAATAGTCTCTGATTTCATATGTCCATGCCATGAAGCATTGCATATTAGTAATGACGAGAGCAAAAGATTAAATCTTTCAATAAGAGCTTAAATTATTATTAATCTGGAGACATCTTGAAATAGCTGATGAAAGAGCGACAACATGGTCGACTAGCTAGTACAAAAAGCGATTCCCCTTTTTGAGCACTTTCATTTCAACTGCAAAGATATATTTTGTTTTGATCAATTGTTTAATAATAATACCTATGCATGTAATGCTTTAATTCCCACGAAGCTGAACCTTGGTGGAAAAAATAAGTAGCAGATGTGCCACACAACATAGTTTATTTAAAACAGACTGAATATTAGCCAAGATATACAAGATAAGAATGATAAGTCAAAAGAATTGCACCATATATTACAAAAACAAAATTTATGAATCAATGACCTGCATCTTATATATACAAAGAAACAATCCAAAGAGAATGAGAATTAAGACAGTAATTGCGATTATAATAAAGTTGAAACATTACCTACCTTGTCTAAAGTTGATTCTTTTCCTGTGTACTGAATCTAGTATTGTATTTCAACCCGACCAGATTTTCTGACTGAGAAAATACAATTGTAGCAATCTGTGAAAGCAACTGGTAAATATGAGTTCTTGCTATATTCTAAGTTCTATTGTGAATATAATTTCATTAAGCAGATTTGAAGAGAAGCAAAATAGGAAGCCTAAGCAAGTTGTGATTACAAATTTGCTTCACTAAAGAAAAGAGTTTCTGAGATTTTGGACAATATTTTCATCAAGCATGTTCAAGCCTACTTCTGGAAGTCTTTCTTTTATATCTCTGTATATAGTTTAGGATATAGTGGCTCTAATATATTTAAAATTATTAAGAAGTATAAATTTCACAAATGTGTTTTTGCTCTATTAGATAAAGAAGTTGTAGTATTTTTAAATAGAAAATATGCATTTAGTATTGGTAATAGATGAAAGGAAAATGCAATACTTTGATATAAACCAATTAATAAATTCTTCTCTTAATCTAATAAAAATAGTCGCATGTTAGTTTTAAGTCTTAATTTTAATAATTGCAAACCTATCTATACTTTTGAATAATAGTGCTATTGAAATAAAAAGTATTAAAAAAGATTTTTTCTGATATAGACACTGGCAAATAAGTGTGTTTCTCCTTTGTACTGCATTATATAAGGACATGGATATGGAAAATCTATAAAAAAAACTCAAGATATTATCGCGATAATACACAAGAGAAGTCTCTATAGATTTGATTATCTTGTGTTATAATGATAGTTTCAACAAAAAATTAATATTTTATTTGGGTTCTGGGCCACCACTTACATATTGTGTTTCATTTTTCAGTGATTTTTGGCAAAGATCTGTGTAGTAAATCATGATATTTATGTGACACTTTGTAGTATCTAATTTTTTTTTAAAAAATTTTATTATCGTATTTAAATCATGGAATTACTTGGGTTCTTTTATTCAGACTTATATTTTGGTTTGAAGTTTGATAAAGGTGAAGTAATAAAAGAAATGATAAAGGCAATGGGAATATTGAGAACAAGAGCAACAAAGATAATAGTAGTAACAGGAGTGATGATAAAAGCAATAGGGATGGTGAGGTTAATAGGAATGATAAGAATAAGAGCAATAAGAACAATGGGAATGACAAGGGAAATAGGAACAGTAAAGGTAATAAAAATTATGAGAATAATAAGAATAATGAGAACAATAGGGATAGTAGGTGTTTTTTTTTTATTGTGATTTTTAACTTAAATCTAACACTTAGATATATCCAGTAGATAATTTTATACATGAAATTATCTGGATACTTGGAATTGTACATTAATATGAAATAGAGAGCCTGCATACGACCTCACTCTATGGAGTAGCTATTTACTCCTGATAAAAGTAAATGTTTTTTTTTATAAAAAAAAAATCTTATGATCATGTACTAATCAGAACTTACTTATCCATTAAATCACATAAAATTATTTAAATATTTTTACTTGAAATTTAAATTTAAATTATTTTTTAAATTATAATTAACAGGCAACTCACTACATTGAATTATCCAAAGTATTATATAGTTAATAAAAGAGAAAATATTATAATTTAAATTTTATAATAAATATAAATATGTTATGATTAATTAAATTATATTTAATTTAAATTGTATTATAATGATTATTTTTTTTTGATTTTTCTAAAATAAGTCATATGGTTAGGCACATGATAATGCATAAAAAAATTGGATTCTTTATAAAAAATGTGTAAGTTAAAGTGACAGGTATCATATATTAATAGCACCTACTTGATCTAGATAAAGAATAAAGAACAAAGCACAAAACATGATAGACTGTCGACATTTACATGCATAAATCTTCAAAAACTACCTCAACTGTCTTGATAACCTTTTAGCTGGTTTTATTTAAATTATTTCTTCCTTTTCTGATTATTGTTTGATTTTAACATTAATTTTTCTTCAGCATCAAGTATTTTTTTATAAAGATAAAGATTTATTTCTTATGATCAAGCTTTTTAAAGTTTTTTTTTTTTTTTTTTTTTGCAAATGGGCATTAAATGCGTGACTTTATTAAACAAGTAATTTGTTTGAACCAGTACATTAAGAATCTTTCTACCAACTGTATAGAATAATCCTAGCCTATTGCAATTAAGGTAGCATATACAAACTCTAAAAACTCTTGTGGGAAAAGAAAAAAAGGTAAATAAAAGCTAGCTACTAGTTATTTTATAACCAATATATGTGCTCGCTATGTGGTTGGATGTGAATGGGAAGTGGTGTGATTAGGAGAATCGGTTTTTATAGTTGCTGGACGCGGGAACCAGCTTGTTGTTATAATACAGCCTGTAGGTCCATCCATATTAGGGGCCTTGTTCCCAATATGGCATGATCATCTTACGCCGATCTTTTGGAGGAGGTAAGCTGGTCATGGTTTTTGGTGTGAATAGAAGTTGGAGATTGAGATGAGAAAATAACTTTATAATAAATTTTCTCGAATATGTGAGGTAATGGCAAAGTCAAAATCCATGTAAAAGTGCTTGTCTAAATGCATACTTCTGATTCCATATCTCAGGCAGGACCAGGGCTCAGCCAATGCAAAGCTTTATACATAGAACCTTTTCTGCTTGCTGGTTTCCTCCTTTAATGTGCCTCATCCTCACTCAACAAGCTTCAGTATATTAGATGGTGACTATAGAAGGGTCACCTGGCTGATTACGGGGTACACTTCTAACATTCAGTCGAAGTACTGTTACATGACCTTTTCTCAGTTAAATACTCTGGAATTAAGGATTGGAGTTTTATGACAAGAAGCCCACACTTCTTGATAGAGCTCTTTTCAATTAAAACCAGATAAATATATTCGGTCAAGATAGTGTCATCGCTGTGCCATGGGGTTGATGAAATGGTGTCGGTAGCAATGAAAGAGAGACCTAGAAAGAAAACCTTCAAGGGGAAGGGAAAACTGTTTGTCGGCAGGAGAGAGAATTTGGGGAAGGGGAAAAGGGAAGAGGGGAAAAAAGATAAATTGCTCTCATGTTTGTGATTACTAGATGTACACAGGGCCTCGCAAAGAAAAGGTTGGCACTCCCAAACCTTCCTAATTCTTGTCTCAGACTGCTGTCATGCACAGGAGTTGGTCTGCTCATACTTCTTTAAACATAAGTGCTTCTTCTAGATGTACTGCCAGACAGTTAGAAGAGCCTCATGTGGTGTCAGCACATCTCAGACTCAACTTGCTGCAAGCTCTCACCTTTAGCAGAAGAAGAGAAGCGAAGAGGAAAAGGGGAAAATTTCCTAAAAAAGAAGTTTTTTGATGAAGTAGGAGTAAGTGGAAAAGAGTTTTTTCTTTAAGTAGCTTTTTAAAGTTTTTAACTGCAAACCCCAAGAATTATTTATAAAAAGCTCTAATTTTTTTGTAATTAATTAAGTTTATTAGATGAGTTGGATTGGGTTTTAATCTGACATGACCTATTTGATAGTAAATCAGGTTGATCAGATCAGGTCAAATTGCAGGTTGAAATCCCTTTGGCTTCTAATATCAATTATAGCTAATGAGCATATTTTATATTGAATAAAAAAAGAGAAAATCATATTAATGCTTCCTGTGAAAAAAAATATCTATTACTATTATATATAAAGAAAATGTTTCTATTATATTGGTTTCAATTGTTAATATAAATGATTTTGCCAAGACAGTTTTATTCTCCATTAAACTCAAGTCATTGGGCTTAGACTTCTTTTTCGATTTTGTTTACATTTCATTCCTTCAACAAAGTTGTTAATAGAATTTACAGATTATTAGATTTACTGAACTTTTTTATTATGAACTTATAATTATGGTATTTATTATAAATATTTTGTGTAATTTTTATCTTTTAAAGATTTATTTTTGTCTGGGTTTTGAAAAAGAAATTT